TTCCCTTCCCTTCCCTTCCCTTCCCTTCTTTTCTTACCTCTTTGCTTTTTTTCATTTTCTGCCATGCCTGAAAACAAGGGTTTCCCTGCTTAATGTATCTATTTCTGTTCTTTTTCTGCAGTCTCAGTCAAAGCTAGTGCACGTAAACCTCGTGGGAGACCTCGGAACGGCTCAGACCGAAGTCCAGCTGCTCTACCAGAGTCCTTGCCAATATATTCCCCTTCAAGCAATCCAGAACCTACATCCATGGAAAAAATAAAAAGGAAGGAATTTAAAAGTGGAGAAAAACGTCGAGGGAGACCTCCTGCTCTAACCAGTGTGAAATTCAAGATCAGCCATAAAGAGTGCGTTCCAGATACTCAGAAAGGAGGGAAGGAAGAAAAAGAGAATGTGAAGAAAATAAAGCGGGCACCATCGGCTACCTTTCAGCATGCTGCAAAAATTAAGAAATTAAGAACAGGCAAACTCTCCCCGCTGAAGTCTCAGTTCAAATCCGGGAAGCTCCAGATTGGGAGGAAAGGGATTCAGATTGCCCGCAGGAGAGGGAGGCCGCCGTCTTCCGATCGCTTGAAGACCATGCCAGCTCTTGTCTGTTCCCAGTTGGAGAAAGTCCAGAGGGCGCGAAAGGAGAGGGAGGGTGTGCCATCTCTCCCCAAAGATGAAAAGCCAACCGTCAGGCAGAGCCCTCGCAGACCAGTCAGGATGATTCCTTCTTGCAAGAGGACAGATGCCACCATCGCCAAGCAGCTCTTGCAGAAGGCAAAAAAAGGAGCTCAAAAGAAAATGGAGAAGGAAGCAGCAAAGCTTCAGGGCCGGAAGGGGAGGACTCAGCTCAAAAACATCCGGCAGTTCATTATGCCTGTGGTGAGTGCCATCTCTTCACGAATAATTAAGACTCCCAAGCGTTTCATTGAAGATGAGGACTATGACCCGCCAATTAAAATAGCACGCTTGGAGTCTACCCCAAACAGCCGCTTCAGTGCTACCTCTTGCGAGTCGAGCGAGAAGTCCAGTGTGGCATCTCAGCACTCCTCCCAGCTCTCTTCAGATTCCTCACGGTCCAGCAGTCCAAGTGTTGATACGTCCACAGATTCACAGGCCTCGGAAGAGATGCAGGCTCTCTCAGAAGAATGCAACACTACTTCGGAAGCTCACCCGTCCCTGCCAGAGTCCGCCTCCCCGGATAATGAGGGTGCTGAGCAGAGGAGGGGGAGGAGGTTTTCAATGGCAGAGAAGAATTTTGCCCCCAAGGCAGCTAAGAAGCTGCCCAGCCTCCAAAGTGTGTCTCAACAGCAGTCATCATCATCATCTTCTTCACCTCCCCCTCCACTGCTCACCCCACCCCCACCCCTGCAGCCAGCAGCCAGCATCTCCGATCATGCTCCGTGGCTCATGCCTCCCACCATTCCCTTGGCATCGCCCTTCTTGCCATCTTCTGCTGCTGCCCCCGTTCAAGAGAAGCGGAAGTCAATCCTCCGAGAACCCACGTTTCGTTGGACTTCTCTGAAGCCCTCCCGGTCTGAGCCCCAGTACTTCTCCTCTGCCAAGTATGCCAAAGAAGGTCTTATCCGCAAGCCGGTTTTTGATAATTTCAGGCCGCCGCCACTGACCCCAGAGGATGTGGGCTTTGCTGCTGCTGCCGCCGCTGCCAGCTTTACCCCTCCTGGGGCCACGGCTGCCACCCGCTTATTTTCTCCTCTTCATTCTGGAACAAGGTTTGATCTACACAAGAGAAGTCCCCTGTTGCGAGCACCACGATTCACCCCCAGTGAGGCGCACTCGCGCATCTTTGAGTCTGTCACGTTGCCTTCTTCGATTAGTCGAAGTGCTACGGGAAGCACTACAGCAGCAGCTTCTTCAAGGAAACGAAAGAGGCGAGTGTTCAGCCCAATTCGATCCGAATCGAGATCTCCCTCGCACTCTATGAGGACAAGAAGCGGAAGACTCAGCACCTCTGAGCTGTCCACGCTCCCTCCGTCCTCTTCCGTCTCTTCTTCCCTAACTAGCATTTCTGGAGGCTCCCTTGCCACTAGTGCCTTAAACGCCACCACGTTCACTTTCCCTTCGCATTCCCTGTCTCAGACTGGGGAAGCAACAGAGAAAAGCCAGAGACCGAGGAAGCAGACAAACCTTCCTGCCGAGCCATTCCCATCGAGTGGCCCTGCTCCCCTTTTTCCTTGGTTCGCACCGGGTGCCCAGACAGAGAGGACCAGGAGCAAAGACAAAGCCACTGAGGAGGTGTCCAAAGACAAAGAACAGGACAACAGTCCCGAGAAGGAGAAGAGCCGAGAAAGAGATCGAGACAGGGAGAAAGAAAACAAACGTGAATCGAGGAAAGAGGAGAAGAAGAAGAAGGTGGGGGCAGCTTCAGAAATCCAGAGTAGCTCTGCTTTATTCCCATCAACTCGAGGGTCTAAAGGAAAGGTTATTGTCAGTGGAGATGCAGCAGCCTCATCTGTTGCCAAAAAACCTGCAGGACGGAGGAAACTGGCTGCCACTGAGCCAGCAGCAGATGCCCCTGCGGTAGTTCTCATGGACTCAGCTAGCATAAAGACCAAGTTACCCAAGAAAGGCCGAGGGGGCTTGGAGAAATCAAACCTGGACCTTGGCCTGGCAGCCGCGTCCGCAGAAAGGGAAGAATCTTTGCGTCTTCCTGCTGCCTCACTCGGCATTCTGAAACATTCCTCCATAAGCTCAGTATTGGCTCATGCTGATAAACTTCCAATGACTGACAAGAGGGTAGCCAGTCTCCTGAAGAAAGCTAAAGCTCAGCTCTATAAGATTGAGAAGAGCAAGTCGCTCAAGCAGGTGGATCAGCCCAAAGGACAGGTATTTTCCAAAAACATTGGGATTAGAAGGGAGGTAAGCACAAGAAATAAGACTTGGCACTCCCCGGACAGAATAGATGAAGCAGTGATGGTTGGTAAGAGTTTCCTGAGAAGGTGCAAGTGCGACTGGTCCCTGGGTCTCGCTAAACCCGGAGAAGCTATGAAAATGTTTCCTATTATACTGCCACTGCTCACAAACCTTGGCATGCTGTGAGCTGTTGGCTTAAGGCTTCTCGCATCTTTCCTTCCGTGTTAGGGAAGGAAAGTTCAACATGCACCAGAATGGGAACATAGCAGTTCGCCTTTCCAGGAATCTTGTGCCTCTGTACTAACATTTGTGGTTGAGTGCTATTTTCACACCCCATTGCACTCCAGAACATCTTTTGCGAATTGAATTCAAAACATTTTGTAGCCCTAGTCCTTCCATCTTGGGGAAAGAGATGAGCTCTGAATTATTGCAGGGAGGTTTTGTTTGTTTTTAAAACTTAACTTCCTCCCTCCCTCCCTCCCTCCCTCCCTTCCTTCCTTCCTTCCTTCCTTCCTTCTTCCTGCCTATCCCAGCTGTCTTGGGTTGTTAGATACAAAACAGCTACTAAATGTCTTGCAATATGTAGATGTTGCTGTGTGTTATTTCTAGTAGATGCTCACTATAAGCTCATACACGCCGAGATCCTTGATGCATTTTGTGCTTATACCTGCAGAATTGCAAGTGGTTGGCTTCAGGCAAAGCCTCTCTGCCTTGTGGAAGGAACCCACTCGGAAACATAATGTTAGAGAAGGCCAAGAAGCCAGCCAGCCATGCCTCTCTACTGGGATTCTGTTGCTCGTGGCAGGATGATTGTATCACCCTATTCCATCTGTTTCTGGAATTTAGGGTCAGGAGAGCGATTCCTCAGAAACCTCTGTGCGAGGTCCACGCATCAAGCATGTCTGCAGGAGGGCAGCCGTAGCCCTGGGCCGCAAACGAGCAGTCTTCCCAGATGACATGCCCACTCTGAGTGCCTTACCATGGGAGGAACGGGAGAAGATACTGTCTTCCATGGGGAATGATGGTAAATGGTTTGATTTGGATAGAAGACGGCATTCCTTTCCTTATGTCAAGGGGCATAACTAGAGATTAACATAAGGGAGACTACTACATGGAAGAATAGCTTTACAAAAAAAAATCTGAATAGAGCCTTTTGCGGTGCTCCTTTAGAAAAAAATGATGATGCTGAGTTAATAGCTGGTGGTCCTTTTGACAGACAAATCCTCTGTTGCCGGATCAGAAGATGCTGAGCCCCTCGCACCTCCCATTAAGCCCATCAAGCCAGTAACCAGAAACAAGGCCCCTCAGGAGCCCCCCGTGAAGAAAGGCCGGCGGTCGAGGCGCTGTGGGCAGTGTCCTGGCTGCCAAGTCCCAGAAGATTGTGGTGTCTGCACAAACTGTTTGGATAAGCCAAAGTTTGGTGGGCGGAACATAAAAAAGCAGTGTTGCAAGTAAGTGTGTGGATTTGAGGCCTCCTCACAAGGGATTCTTCCCGGGGGACAGTGCGGGGGTGGGGCCCCTAAACACTGGTTTCACTCTCCCTGAGGAGATGCCAAAGGCACCAGATTTTCCCATGCTTTGGGCTGGACTTCTGCCTTTCTCATCCAAATGGCAGCTGGTACGAATGATCGTCAGTAATGATGTTACCTAGTTTGGGTTATGAAACATCAGCAAGAAAACAGCCAAGCTCACAGAGCACCACGGCCCCTACTAGCAGAATCCTCCTGTGGATTGCTTAGTAATGTGTCCTTTTCTCCTCCTGAAGGATGAGGAAGTGTCAGAATCTGCAGTGGATGCCGTCAAAAGCTTATCTCCAGAAGCAAGCCAAAGGTGGGGAGCCCTTTGCAGAGGGAGAGCAGGAAGGGACGGGGCCACTGGTGCTTTCAGGACAGCAGCTCCATGTGTGGCTGGCGGTTCCATCAAAATGCTTTTCTGCTTTGCAGCTGTGAAAAAAAAGGAGAAGAAATCCAAGACCGGTGAAAAGAAAGACGGCCACCTGGGGAAAGTTCAGGGGGAGCCAGGGCAAAAAGCAGCAGCCCCTCCTCTGGCTTTGGGGAAAGAGGATCAAGCCTCCAAGAGAAGCAGTGAACCAGCCCGGAAGGCCAGTGAAGGAAAGACCGAGGAAGGGCAGCTGCCGCCGCCACCTGTCCTGGACCCCAAGCAGCCTCTTCTCTCTGCCACCCGGAAAGCTGGCAAACAAGCACTGCCTGCTTTGCCCCCTGTCCAGCTGCCTAGCTCAGGCCCACCCAAAAAGGAAGCCCCCAAAACCGTGCTGGCTGAGCCCAAGAAAAAAGCCCCGCCATCCCTGGAAGCAGGTATGTGTTGACCTTTCCTGGCGGCCTCTCCAGGACTGACTTACCTGCTCCCCGGAGAGACCGGTGGGGCCTTGCTCTCTGGTGTAAGACCGCCTCCCATAGGGGGGGAATGGCCCTGCTCAGCCACTGCACACAAATAGGTGCTTTCTTAGGCACACACCAGTGGCCCTGTGAGGAAGCAGCAGGCAAATGGGACTTGCCTTTCTCTTTTGTAATCATTTGTTTTTTTTCTCCTTCTGTATGCACATCCCGAAACTTTAGCAAAAAGTGGGTGCTGTCTCTTCTGCCCTAACAAGGCTCCAAATGCCTCCTTGTTTCAAGAGACAAATCTTAGGTTATTACAAAGTATGTTTGTAATTTTTCTAGCCATTGAGCAAAACAGACAGAAGAAAATCATTCCGCGTCCCAGCTTACTGGTGAAACAGAAACCAAAAGAAAAGGTAACCCTTCATCTTTGCTTCAAGGGAAAAAAAATGTTCTGTGATTGTCCCCTAATACTTTAAGCCTGATCCTGACCTCACCCCTTTCTGCAAACCCAGCACACACCATCTGAAGGCAGGTACAGGTCTGGGCCCCCGAAAAATGGGCGTGTACGCATGCCAAATAGTAGCATTTCTGACCTTTTAAGAAAATCCAGGTACACAATAGGAGCGTAATATTTCTCTGGTATGCTTCCTTGTCTGACGGTAGTGATAATTCAACCTGAATTTTGTGGTGTTTCTTGGGACTGACTCCTTATCGTAGGCTAGGCAAGGGGCCCGGGCCTTCCACTGATCTATTCTGAGGCCAGCTTGTGGAGGAGGGAAGGAAATGTTGTCTCTGCCATCTTTCTAGGAGAAGCCGCTCCCAGTCAGCAAGCCAGAGAACAGCGCCCTCAATACCCTGAGCACTTTATCCAACCACACCCCTTCCAAGCAGAAGCCCCTGACGGATGGGGTCCACAGGATCCGAGTGGATTTCAAGGTAACAAGGCAGCTTAGAGTGTGGCTTTCTTCCTCGGGAGAAGTTGGGCCATGGACGAGGGATGCTCCCTGCTTACCCCATTGTGGTGCCGGGCCTGGCAGAACCACCTCACGCAGGCCTTGCTTCTCTGCTTTCTAGGAGGACTGTGAGGCTGAAAGCGTTTGGGAAATGGGCGGTCTGGGTATCCTAACCTCCATTCCAATCACCCCCAGAGTGGTCTGCTTCCTGTGTGCCAGCAGTGGGAACGTGGAGGTAAGAGAGGAGTCGGGTATGGGAGGGTTGAAACACGTAGATGGAATTGAGTCCTTCATCAAAACAATCCATTGTTTCTGCAGAATCATGTTGTTTTAAAAGTTTTTTATTTGCCTCTGAAACCACAAACCGGTCCAACTTCTGCCAGTTCCTCCTAAGCCCTGATAAATATTTTTTGCTCGTTGCGGAATCTGGGATTGCTGTAGAAGTGAAATTGCTCACAGACAAGATGGGATGTGGTCTAAAAGCCGCTTTATCCTTGATACTCATCGTTGATTTGATACTCAACACGGCAGCTGGAACTTGCCAGTGTCATCTGCCTTCTAACTCACTACAATATTCCCAAGGGAAAAATGTGTTTGGTACTCATGGCGCCTCCCGGAACCAATTTTAACAATGAGTATCGAGGTACCCCTGTACTTTGGATATTAATGGGTGGGGCCATTATAATGTTATTCCTTTCTTCATTCATTGATTCAGTTTGTACTTTACCTTTCAATTAAGTTGGATAATCAAGGCTGCTTGAGTTAAGAACCAAATTCTTACAAAATCCACCAGAGCTAAGCTACGAGAGGGAGGGAAGGAGGGAGGGAGGGGGAGAGAGAGAAGTGCAGTGGGCCTGCCTGATTGGCTGACTTGTTTGTTTGCTTGTAGTTTGTCTATTGCCAGGTCTGCTGTGAGCCTTTCCACAAATTCTGTTTAGAGGTTAATGAACGCCCCCTGGAAGACCAGTTGGAAAACTGGTGCTGCCGTCGCTGCAGGTTCTGCCACGTGTGTGGGAGGCAGCATCAGGCCTCCAAGGTAACTCCCTTCGCTTTCTGGGACCTGCCCGCCGACTGGTGCTCAGGACTTGTGTTAAAAGGCGTGGCCCCTGGACAGGCCTCTTGAAGCCTGAAAGACCTTGTGTGACGCCCTTCTCTGCCATCCCACAGCAATTGCTGGAGTGCAACAAGTGCCGGAACAGCTACCACCCAGAGTGCCTGGGACCAAACTACCCAACTAAGCCCACCAAGAAGAAGAAAGTGTGGGTATGTTCCTCTGGGGAATCTGGGGTCTCTCAGGCAGACTCGATTGCCCAAACAAAATAGAAGAAAGGGGGGAAAGGAGACTGGGTGCGATTATACAAATTCCTGGGGAAAATGGACAGTCTCAAGTACTCCTTTTGTATCGGACTTTTATTTTGCTGCTGTGATTTCCTCTCTTTACTGAATATTGTGTCTGGTATAATTGAAATAGATACTTCTCAGAGAACAACTGATTCTTCAAAAAACACCAGCTTCTTTCTGTTTTTCTAGATCTGCACCAAGTGTGTTCGCTGTAAGAGCTGTGGGGCGACAACTCCAGGCAAAGGGTGGGATGCACAATGGTCCCATGACTTCTCTTTGTGTCACGATTGTGCCAAACTCTTCGCTAAAGGTGCAAAAGGGCCGAATAGTATTGAAGACCAAGGCCTGGGAGGGTTGGCAGCCATTCCCCCTGAAGGGAAAACTTTGCTTTTCAACCTGGCCTTAGAAGGGGGATGGCGGACAGCTTCCTGTGTAGAATGGCACACTGCCTGATTCATAGATCACATGAAGACTTGCATTGTTTTAACAGTGGTTTGTTCAATAAGCCACCATTGACCCCATTTTACCTGTATGAAGGGTTTCCCCTCTCCCGTCAGTCAGCCACAGGACTTGCCAGCAGCAGCCATTCTTGCTTTGTGATTCTCTGGCTGTGTGAGCCCACCTCCTCATTTTCTGCTGCTTGTAGGAAACTTCTGCCCCCTCTGTGACAAGTGCTATGATGACGACGACTATGAGAGCAAGATGATGCAGTGTGGGAAGTGTGACCGCTGGGTTCACGCCAAGTGTGAAGACCTCTCTGGTGAGGAAGAGCGTTTGTGGTCAACAGCCCTAGGTTACTTTTGCAGATCCCTTTGGTTTAAAAAAAAAGGCGGGGAAACCCTGCCCTAAAGGTTGGTATCCGGAAATCCCTTTAATGGTCACAAACAGAAATGGGACCATGTCAGGCGGTGCATTGAGCCAGTTTTTGGAAGGAAGGTGAGCGGAAATGCTGTGAGATGGTTTGGGGAAGGGTTGATCTATTGAAACGAGCAGACTTCCGCCTAAGGCTCCCCTCCAAGATGTCCAGCAGGGCGCAGTCCTCTCAGGCTTGAGGTGGCAGGCACCACCACCTCCCAATCCTGAGACATCAGAACACGCATGGGCCCTAAGTTGAGCCCTTCTCCTCCTCCTCCTCTCCCTCTTTCCTGGCCCTGCACAAACACACCCTTTGCCGTTTCTCCCTTCAGATGAGATGTATGAAATCCTCTCTAACCTTCCGGAGAGCGTGGCTTACACCTGTATTAATTGCACTGAACAGCATCCTCCCGAATGGCGGCTGGCCCTTGAGAAAGAGCTACAGCTTTCTTTAAAGCAGGTTTTGACAGCTCTGTTGAATTCTAGAACGACTAGCCACCTACTGCGTTATCGGCAGGTACGTCTATCTTTTTTCTTTCCCAAACTAACCAACTGTTGGTTTGCCTGTCTGTCTATTTAGGAGAGGTTGGTTATTGGAAATACAGAATTTCTAAGCAAAAAAGCAGAATTAGCTAGGCATTACTAGTCTTAAATCAATTCCACAGGCTAAGAACTGAAGGTTTGGTATCAACTATCACAATTTATATGGCGATTATTATCCCGAGTCAGTTAAAGTTGGAGGAATCTTGAACAAACATTGCTTTGTACCACGAGCTCTTGTCTATCTTCAGGCAGCCAAACCTCCTGACTTGAATCCTGAAACAGAAGAAACCGTGCCCTCTCAAAGTTCTCCCAAAGGCCCAGACCCTCCCATACTTACAGAGGTTGGCAAGCAGGAAGAGCAGCCACTCCTCGATCTAGAAGGTGTGAAAAGGAAGATGGACCAAGGAGGCTATTCTTCTGTGGTAGGTCTTGGTGCAGTCGGCCACCCTTGCTTTCAGGGCTTCTGCTGGGGTGAAGAGAAAATTGAAGCCAAGTTAAAACAGGCTGTGGTTTGGCACTGAAAGGCCGCCATCTTGCATGGTTGTTGCCCTGTTTCTCCTCCTCTGAGTGAAGAGGAGGCCACCCATTGGACTCCAGCAGTGGCCAGGCCAGGGAGCTGCTTGATGAAAATGCCACAAGAGTCTACAACTCCTGCGGGTAGTGAGTGAGGCCTGCCTTAAGGACCACAGTGAAGTGGATTTTATTTTTCCCATCTAGTTGGAGTTCAGTGATGATCTTGTTAAGATAATCCAAGCAGCTATCAATGCGGATGGAGGGCAGCCGGAACTCAAGAAGGCCAACAGTGTGGTGAAGTCCTTCTTCATGAGGGTAGGCTGCATTTTGCCCTTGTCTTGAAGAAAGTTGATGCTGCCCTTGTTCCCAGAGCAGCGCTGATTCTCCAAAGAAACAGTTTTTAAACCTGTCATAAGTTCACCATTCCGATAAATTTGCCGAGTTTTGAGGCAGTTTTCTTAAAAGCTTAATGCCAAGCAAAGTAATACTGAATCTTATTAAAAATTGTGGTTTTTCTCTTTAGCAAATGGAACGAGTTTTTCCATGGTTCAACGTAAAGAAGTCAAGATTTTGGGAACCAAACAAAGTCACGGCAAAGTAAGCAACTGCTCTACTTCCTGAAGTCACTCCCTGTCACTAAGCAAAGATGGTGCCGTAATGTCGTCCCCTGGAAATCGCATGGATTTCCAGATGGCCTCTCTGGCTGCCTGCAGCAACTCCCGTCGGCTGCCAGGAGCAGGAAGTCCTCTGGCTGCTCCTTCCTCCGAAGGAGAGAGCTGAGGGACGACCTGGAGGGCTTGGGAGGTTGAGAGCTGCCTCTGACCGAGGGCGGTGTGTCTCTTCTTGTCTTCTAGCAGTGGAATGTTGCCCAATGCTGTCCTGCCCCCCTCCCTGGACCATAACTATGCCCAGTGGCAGGAGCGCGAAGAAAACCGTTCCGGTCAGCAGCAGCCCCCTCTGATGAAGAAAATAATCCCAGCTCCAAAGCCCAAAGGGCCAGGAGAGCCAAACTCCCCCACGCCACTGCATCTTCTGCATCTTCCTGCCTCACCCTTATCCAGTGAGAAATGGGGCCTCCTTTCCTTGCACTCTCTGAAGGAAGTTCTCCTGGAAGATGGGCTTTTGGGGGAGCAGAGAGGAGCCTTGGGGTCCGCTTTCTGCCTGAATGAAATGCATCCCATTCCGCCCCCCCCCCTCCCCAAATCCTTTGGGCTGCTTGAAAGAGCTCTTACCGCTCTGCCTTTTGCAGCTGGGTCCAGGGCTCCCATAGAGAATCCCGTTCCATGTTTCTTCCTCATGTTCTTTGTTGGGAATTCATTCTTTCCATTTGCGTTGAGGTCCCGATAGAAGCCAAGACGACAGCCCAGAACTTCCCCCTCCTCCGGATGTGGAAGACAACCGGCAGTGCTCTCTTTGCCTGAAGTACGGTGATGATGGAGGCAATGTAAGTAGTGCGGGACTCCCATTTCAGTCTTCTTCAGATGCTCCTGCTTGCTCTGTCTACTTAAACTGTTCCTGGCAGGTGGATCTCGTGTCATCTTCGTCCCTTAGAGTGATCTCATTTGTCAGTTAAAAACATTTGATTAAATCCCTCTGAGACTTTGGTGAGCAAATGCACTTAGTGGATAATTTATTTATTCATCCATTTATTGAATTTATATTGCCACCTATTCGCCTATGGTGACTCGAGGCGGCTTTGAGAATGTAAAACTATTTAAAACAAAAAGAAAACACTAAAAACTAACCAAAAGAATCAAATCAATTAATAAAGTACAATAGAACAAAATCTGAAAAAATGCTATCAGAAAGATTGTTATATTTTTATCCCACTTAAAAAAATGAGTCAACTCAAAGCAGCAAACATATTCAATACACCAGCCTCACATTTTCACCTCAGCAACAATCTTTTAATGTGGGTTTGGCTAAAAGAGAACAACTGGCCCAAAGTCATCCAGCCGGCCAGCTTTCATGCCTAGAGGAGAGGCCTAGAATTCGGTGCCTGGTTTTCAAGAACCATTTGGAATAAGAGAATTAGAAAAATATTAGCAATTTAAGAGTTTTTCCCGTTCTTTACAGATTACTCAGAGCTGGGAGAGATTGGTAAAAATCTCAGGATAAAATTCAGATATGTTGTTACAATAGAAACATGCAAAAGCATGCATTAGGGAAAATTACATGGTGCAATAAAAATTAAATAGGCATAAATTGAGTATGGAGAACACCTGGCTTAGCAGTTATGTTTGTGAGGGGAATCTTGGGCCACAAACGGGAGGTGCTTTAGCAGCATTTCCAGAGGATCAAGATATCGTTGAATTGAGAGCAAAATAATGGGCCTTTTCTGAGCCACCTCCCTGCTTGTCAGCTCTTCCTCCTTGCACAGGGTGGGACTTCTGCCTTTGGTGATCTGTGTGCTTTTCTACAGGATGCTGGCCGTCTCCTTTATATTGGTCAGAACGAGTGGACCCATGTGAACTGTGCCCTGTGGTCAGCTGAAGTGTTTGAGGAGGAGGATGGCTCTCTGAAGAATGTGCACGTGGCCGTGATTCGTGGGAAGCAGCTGGTGGGTAGTCTATGTGACTGCGGTCCGTTTTCTGTGGCGCTTTCACAGACCAGTATTTACAGAAAAGAAAAAGGTTTCTTCTGACAGAAATTCTGGGACAAAAAATCTCTTAGTTCAATGTTATTATTTTATTTCAGTAATGCTAGTAACAGGAAGAAAGGAGCTTGCAGGGTGTGGAATGGGCTCTCCTTGGCAATTTCTTAGCAGCCGGGCTGGGGCGTAAAAAGGCACCTCTCAGCAGTTAAGGTGGGAGTTGCCCCAAGCGGTTGAACGGAGGCTCCGTCTCTTCCTTAAGTGCCGATCCTTTCGGATTGCTTCAGAGTGGCTCTTGATCTTTCTCAGCTGCTTTGTTAAATAAATAGATTCAAAGGTATGTTTAAATTTATGAAATACAAAGTTGTAACCCTAAATATATGCTTAATTTGTTAAAAAACAATAGCTTTGCTTGTTTGCAGCTAGGGCAAGGAAGATGAACCAATTAGGAGTTCTCTGATATAATACTATTAATCAGATATGTTACATTCATTTTAACCGTGCAGTATTTGTGCAGTTTTACAATCAGAGTAACATGCCAATCTTGCAGCGATGTGAGTTCTGCCAGAAGTCGGGTGCCACAGTCGGGTGCTGCCTGGCCACTTGCACCAGTAATTACCATTTTATGTGTTCTCGGGCCAAAAATTGTGTCTTCTTGGAGGATAAGAAGGTGTACTGCCCACGACACAAGGACCTGATCAAAGGGGAGGTACGTCCTATGCCACTTGCCCCTTTTCTTGCTCCTCACTTGTTTTCTGTCCAGATGACTTATTCTGCCGTGGGTTTGTTTGCAGACAGTGCCAGAAAATGGCTTTGAGGTCTTGAGAAGAGTCTTTGTGGATTTTGAAGGAATCAGCTTGAGGCGGAAGTTTCTGAGTGGTTTAGAACCAGAGAACATCCATGTGATGATTGGTAAGCCCATTTGTGAAGTGAGGTCAGAATAGATGGCCTCTTGTGCCACTGCTGTTCTTGTGCTTCAGCCTTTCTTCTACTTCAATGTAGGGTCGATGAGCATTGACTGTCTTGGCATCCTGAATGACCTTTCTGACTGCGAAGACAAGCTCTTTCCAGTTGGATATCAGTAAGTGGAAGCTGCTCTTTCAGGAAGAAACCTGGGCTGCAGGGCAGGGCTGGTTGGCTGGCCTGGTTCTCCACAAGAAACAACAACAACAAAAAAGAATAACCTTGTTTCCTCACCCTTTTTTTTGTTTCCCTAGTTTTCATTGTTCACTTTTAATTGGATTATGAAATACGAGGTAGTTTCTCATTTTGTGACCACAATTGCAACTGGCCGCTTGGTAATTAAATGAAGCACAACTGTACTTAACAGTCCTACTTCAACTTTCTTTTGCTTTACAGACCTGTAAAGGTTGTAAATGCAAGGATCGGTTGTAAAGTTAGTTTTTCATTACCATCATAATTTCAAACGGGTGTAAACAAGGCAGATTGCTAAGTGAGGACTGCTTGTACCTTTCTTTAGAATGAGTACTTTGAAGGTACGGCATTCATATGCTAAACCCCTTTCCTCCCCTGTACATGGTTTTTACAATGGGCACAAAGGAAGGCCTTCCCTACACGTTCTTACATTGTGAGCAAGCCGCAGTTGCAAAGCAAGGTGGACAAGGGACTGTCCCAAGTACTCAGGTTTGCAACTTCTTGTAATCCTCTGCTTGAGATCCCCCCCCCCCCCCGGGCAACCCAACAACTTAAAAGAGCAGGAAAAATCATCATATAATCATTGAAAGATAAGGCACTTGAGTTATTCTATTTTAGTAACATTACTTACCTTTTTTAGCCAATATAAATTAAATGAAGTAATTTTGTGGAAAACTAAAGTTGATACAAGATAACTTAAAACTTTTTTGTTTTTTGTTTTTTTCCCAAAATGTCCATTTTTCTGTGGCTTCAAAATTTCCAGAAAAATTATGTTATTGTCCCAACACTTACCCGATGTATATACTGTTTGTCCAGGTGCTCCCGGGTTTACTGGAGCACAACTGATGCTCGAAAACGTTGTGTTTACACGTGCAAGATCATGGAATGCCGTCCTCCTCTCCTAGACTCTGACATTAACAGCACCATGGAACATGATGACAACCGGACCATTGTCCACAGCCCAGTGTCACTTTCAGGTGTGGGGCAACAGTGGTATCAAGGGGGCCGCTACCTTTTCCATCCACAGCTTCTCTTGCCTGGGCAGTTCCTTTTTAGAAATCTCTTGAGTTGAGGGCTGAGAATGTCCCCTGCAAAACTATTTCTTTCTAACTCCAGAGGAAGGCAGAGAGGGGCTGAGTGGTCAGTGCGGCTTCTAGAAATTGGCATTTAAATTACTCCTACTTTCAGAGTTGAGCCTCTCTTGCCTAATGGAGAACAAAAGGGCAGGTGGGATTTCTCAGAAATGTTACTGACGTAGAAGAGAGGAATATTTACTCATAAAATCATCCTTCCCAACATGTATAGTTTTCACTTTCAGTTGATGGTGGTGCGGGGGCCCTTTCCCTCTCCTATGGAAAAATAAGCTATTGAGAAGAAATGCTTCTTTCTGACCCCCCCCCCCCCCCCCCCCCCGGAAATAGTCAGTTCAAATACGTTTTGACTGTAATTCAAATTGAATGATGGTCCTATTTTCTCCTGCAGCAGAAATTCCACCCAGAGATGGCCGTGCAGCACCGGCTGCCCTAAACGCTCCCTCTGCAGATCTTTCTCCACATTCTCAGAACTTCAAGGCTCTGCGGATCAGGACGCCAGGTTTTGCTCCTTCCCAGCGAACTCCTGGTTCGAGGCCATTGCCTTCTGCAGGTCTGACTCACAACTCTTCTTTCTGTGATGGCTTTTGACAGCTTTAGAATATGGAATTTTTCTTTTTCTTACTTAAAAACTATGTTCAGATATTTATTTAATTTAAACCCTTAAAAAGTATTTCCAGATAACACTAAACTAGCCCTATTGTAATTCAAAGTTGGGGAGAAATTTGGTTCCCTTTACTTTCCTAGTCCTAGTGCAGAGGTCTCCAAACTTGGCAACTTTAAGACCTATGGACTTCAACTCCCAGAATTCTCCAGCCAGCGATGCCAGGTTTGGGGACCCCTGTCCTCGTGTGTTGAGTCAAAGCCTATCTTTCTAATGATGAAAGATTTGTCTGAGGGAAAAGCAGAGCTGAGCTAGGGATAAGAAGTGCTTGGCCCTGGGGATCGGGTTTCTTTGAGAATCGTTGTGTTCAGTTTTCTTCTTTAAAAAATTATCTCTCCCTAGGAAGCCCTACCCCGGTGCCACACGAGATCGTAACCGTGGGAGACCCTCTGTTATCCTCTGGACTTCGGAGCATTGGCTCCCGGAGGCCCAGCGCATCTCTGTTTTCACAGCCGCTGAGGCCTTGGATGCTGCCTCCCACCAGAGTTGGGGCCACTCATGCTCAGCACAGCACTATCTCTTCCGGACCCAGCAGGAGTCCCGTCCCAGAGCACAACGTGAGCCTCAAACGTACCGAACACTCTGTGAGACCAGCAGCCGTGCATGTTGCTCTGCAGGACACCTTTACCCCTCCCAGTCTGGCCACCACAAGCGGAGGCAGAGGAGCTTCTCCTCGGGAGGGATCCCTCTCCTTTGAAACTGGGCCTTCTGGAGGGCCCTTTTCGGCCAAATTAGAGAAGGGGAAGCTGCTGAGCCCCAAAGATCCGAGTGCTTCCTGTGGGAATTCAAAAACAGGCTGCCATGGACAGGGCATATCTGGCCCAGAAGGAAACCCAAGCAAGGGAGGGAAGTTCCTAGAGGCCTCTTCTGCACTGTTTTCTCCCAAAGAATCCATAGTTTCTGCAGTGTTGCATCAGAATGCCCCAAAGAAGGAACAAGATCGGCATCTAACACAGACAGACAAAAATTGCTTATATGAAACCCCTGAAGCAAAGACCTCACCATTTTCAAGTAATCGATCTCCTTGCATGAACGATCCGGTATCTTCTGTGGGTAGAGAGAGGAGACAAAAAATGAAGAAGGGGACAAAAGAGAGACATTCTAGTAAGCTTTTTAGAAGTTTAAGTGTCCTCCCAAGTAGCCACAAAGAATGTGCAGAGACAGAATTTGTTCATCAGGCAATGACATCTGAGCATATTAATCAGCAGCAATATAACAGCATTGCTGTTGAGAAACTCATTGACAATAATGTGCTTGGCCAGGAGACACCCAAAGCTTCTTTCCCGAGTGAAATGGCCGCCTCAAAGGATTTGCAGAATTCACAAAAGCGGACAGTAAAAGTCACCCTCACTCCGCTCAAGATGGAAGGTGAGACCCAGTCCAAAAATGTTCAGAAAGAGCGCGAGGCGGAGTCTCAGCCGAAGCGTTGCCCATCTGGGCCCCAGCCGGCTTCCGTTCCAGAGCACTCGGGAAGTGACTGTATTGTCCCAGACACTCAGAGCTCTGCTTCCTGCTCAGTGGCCCCCAGCGACCCCTCTTACCCAAATCTGCCTGTCCAGGACAGCGGCTTGATGATCCAGGATGGAGCCAAAGAGCAGGAAGATGGGTCCTACAAGCGGCGATACCCTCGGCGCAGTGCACGTGCCCGATCCAACATGTTCTTTGGTCTGACCCCTTTGTATGGCGTGAGGTCATATGGTGAGGAAGACCTTCCCTTCTACAGCAACTCCACCGGCAAGAAGAGGGGCAGGCGGTCTGCTGAAGGCCAGGTAGACGGTGCCGATGACCTCAGCACATCAGATGAAGAAGACCTGTATTACTACAACTTCACCCGAACGGTTGTCTCGAGCTCAGATGAGCACATGGCTTCGCATAGTTTATTCCGTGAAGAGGAACAGATCAGTCTCCCCAAAATCTCTCAGCTGGATGGTGTGGATGATGGGACAGAAAGCGATGCAAGCACCACAGTAACAACAAGGAAAATCAATTCAGGAAACAAAAGGAGCGGCAAAGAAAATGGAACAGAAAGCTTAAAACTTGAACGAAGTGAAGATAGTGGGGAGAAAATGCAAGCGACCAAGACTTCAGTTGGCCATAAAACAGCTGATCCCAAAATGGAGAATTGCCGGGTCAAAAGTCAAGATTCTTTGGAAGCTCAGCTGAGCTCCCTAGAAGCCGTCAGCCGTCGTCCTCGTACCAACACGGAGCCCTCTGAGAAGAACCTGCTGGATACATTCAGCCCAGAACTGCTGAAGTCCGACTCCGACAATAACAACAGCGACGATTGTGGGAATATTCTCCCTTCAGACATCATGGACTTTGTTCTGAAAAACACCCCCTCGATGCAGGCCCTGGGGGAGAGCCCGGAGTCCTCGTCCTCGGAGCTCCTGACTCTGGGAGAAGGTCTGGGCCTCGACAGCAATCGGGGCAAAGACATGGCGCTCTTTGAAGTCTTTTCCCAGCAGCTGCCAACAGCCGAGCCGGTAGACAGCAGCGTCTCGTCTTCCATTTCAGCAGAGGAACAGTTTGAGCTGCCCTTGGAGCTGCCTTCAGACCTCTCGGTCTTGACGACCCGGAGCCCTGCAGTCCCCAGTCAGAACCACGGCAGACTTGCCGTCATTCCAGAGCCTTCCCTCGCCGCCTCAGGGGAGAGATCAATGCTAACTCTCCCGTCCTCAGATCCCGCAGAGAAGAGGGTGACGGTCACAGAAAAGGTTTCCTCCGGTGAAGCAGAGCCAGCGTTGTTAAGCCCACAAGTGGCCCCAAGCCCTGAGGGCTCTCTGACCCCCGACCCTTTCATTCAGAGCCACCTGGAAGCAGAGCACCTGGCCAGCCCACCCTGTGGACCGAGAGAAGCTGGTCTCGCGGCCAGCCAAGACCTCCCCGTTTCTCCCTCCCTCCCCCTCCAGAACCCCAAGTATGGGCCAAGTGCCCCCGACAAGCCCGGCCCGTCTCCCATCTCCACGGCTGCTGTGCAGAGCTCCCCTCTCCACCTGAAGGCTGCTGCAGAGAAGCTCTTGGTGGTCAACCAGAACATGCAGCCTCTGTACGTCCTGCAGACGCTGCCCAACGGCCTCACCCAAAAGATCCAGCTGACTTCTCCCGTCAGCTCTGGGCCAGCCGGGATGGAGGCCGGGGCTTCTGTGCTGGGCCCAATGGACACAGCCAGCCTCGCACTGGCTGCAGGCCTGAGCCCTGCCCTGCCCTCTGCCAGGCCTCTCTTTCCCGCGGCCAGCAAAGGCCTGCGGCCCATGCCCCAGCAGCAGCAGCAGCAGCAGCACTTGCATTCCTTCTCGTCCAGCCCCTCCAGCGGCAGCGGCAGCTTCCCGGCAGCCCTCGGCAGCGCTGCCTCGAGCCTTCTGATTGGAGTCCAGCAGCTGCCTGACCCCGAGGTGAATCCCAGGGCAGATATTGGGCCTGCAGTCGCCACCCCTCCTACCGGCCTCAGCAAGAAGCGGCCCATTGCACGGCTGCACTCTCGAAGGGCCAAGAAGTCATCTCCTTCGGCCGCTGCGCCTTCTGACCTGGCCTCCATGAACTTCCCTCGGTCCTCCCCGCCTGGCCACCCAGGCCTGCTCGATCTGGGAGCCGCATGCCCCCGAACTGGGCCCAGCATGGTCAAGCGCTCCAAGCCAGGGCTCATGTACTTCGAGCAGGCACCTCTCTTGCCCCAGGAGGTGGGGACGGCTGCCACAGAGGCAGCCCTCGGAGCGTCTCCCAGCATAGCCTCCCCTCCACCTGGGCTGAATGTGGGCCCCCTGCCGGCACCTGGCCCCAGCCCAGCGGTCCTGCCCCACCTGTTGGGACAAGGGGGCTCTGACGTGCCAGGCATTTCGGACATGAACTCCCTCAGCAGCCTGTTAATCAAAGCCACGCGACAAGGGCTGAGCCTCTCAGAGCAGCCGGCTTCAGCACCGCCACCAGCTTCCAGGGTATTTCCACCACATAAGCAGGTCTCGCTGGGCCAGTCTGCCTCTGCAGGGCTGGCGACGGCTGCTGTAGTCACCGGCACCTCTGTCTTGCCTCCCTCGAAGGCCGTGTCTGCCGATGCTGGAAGCGCCTACCAGGCCGAGCCTCCTCTCACACAGCTTCTGGCTTGCAAAGCTGGGCCAGCCCCACCTCACCTGGACCTGACCCCCTCACAGGCAGCTGCCCTTTCAGACTTCCCCCAGCTGATGGATACGGTAGCTGTGGGGCGAAACAGACCGGCTCCCTGTGTCCCCACAGCCTCTCCTGGGGGCTCCCCTTCCACCGTGCTGGGCCCCACCAGGGCCAAATCCAAAGTCAAGCGCTTGCCGTCCCCTTTGGGCAGCAAAGGATCCGGGAAGAAACCCAGGGCGCCTCCATCCTGGAACAGCTTCCCTGGCCAGTGCGTTCCACCACAAGGCACGAGGGTGGCAACCCAGGACCCAGGCGGAGGGTGAGTGAGAGAGCTGCAGCCCTGACTTTCCCCGCTTTCCCAGAAGGCCCCTCAGTGCTGAGAAGCACGTTCCTCTGCCCTGCTCCCGGATCAACGGGGGGCGGGGCACTGGTTTGGATGGCCTTGCTGGTTGTAAGAGCACCCTGGGGAGCCCAGGGGTTGACTGGAAAGCCTCCCCGGTGCTTTCGCCAGTGTTTGCTCTGGGAACCAACCTCTCCCCGACCCATGAAAGTCACCTAGTTCAGGGAGGGTATCGCTGGGTCGGTGGTAAGCCTGACTTCCAAGCTCTCGCTTGCTTGCTTGCTTGTGTTCCAGGGCCCAGCCCTTGAGGGTGCAGCCAGACGAGGCAACAGACGTGCTGCAGCCAGCCCACAAACCAGCAGGGTAAGTGGGCTAATATAATAAGTCTGGTGGGAGGAGGAAGGGGCCAAGGCCCTGCACACACCCCCACTGGCTTTCTAGCCAAGAATCGTTCTTCGGTTTGGTGCCTCTGAGCATGGCAGAAAGGTCAGGGGAGGCTTCAAACCAGCCAGGGACACAGAGCTCCATTCTTTCCTTTGGAAACGTCCACGTGGGCGGAGTGTTCAGCACCATAGAATCTGTGAGGCTTCATGAGGCATCAGAAGAGCGGATGAGCATTGCGGCCAAAGGTCTTCCATTGCAAATCCCTTCTCCCACCAAACAGATGCCTCCCAGAAAACTTTCCAAAACTTAGCGTGCCTCTCCGTAATATTGAAGGGCCGCAGCTGAAATGGGTCTCTCAGCCTTTTCCAACGCTCCTCCTCTCCACAGGCATTTGCAGCCTCACCCACAACTGCAGCCAACCCTGATCTCTTCAAAGGAATTGGAGCGTGCAGGTAGGTGAAGGCAGGCGTCCCTTTGCCCCGCCCAAGAACTGCAGGACGTGGAGGTCTGTATGTCACAGTCCCTGCTTGGCTGCTCTTCAATTTCTGGGAACTTCTCTTAGAAGTTGGTCTTTTGTGACTTGCGTGGCCGAGAGGTCACGAGGCTGCCTTTTTCCCCTCCAGATTCCAATGCTGAGGAGGTGGAAGAGGAAGAAGAGGAGGAAGAGGGAAGCTTTAGCTCCCCCCTCATGTTCTGGCTGCAGCAGGAGCGGAAGCGGAAAGAAAGCCTTGCAGAGAAGAAGCCCAAGAAAGGGCTGGTGTTTGAAATCTCCAGTGACGACGGCTTCCAGATCTGTGCAGAGAGTATGGAAGGTAGGCCCCCAGAGAGGGGCCGCTGCCCCGGAGCCTCCCGTCAAAGGGCTTGGGCAACCTTGTTGGAGGTCCTGTTCTGAGAGAAGCTTTGCCACCCCTTCTGCTCACTCCTTGGCTGTTCTCTTCCCTTAGAAGCATGGAAGTCCCTGACAGACAAAGTGCAAGAAGCCCGGTCGAATGCCCGCCTGAAGCAGCTCTCCTTTGCAGGTACCAGCGTGTGGAGGGGAAACCAAGAGGGCCAGGCTCCCTTGGCTGCTGCCCTTGCCCCTCGATTCCCTTTCCGTTCGGAACAGCCCTTGCCCTGTTTCCAAAAGGGCTGGAGTGGGGAGGGTGGGAGCAGAGCTTGGAGTCAGGCCAGGCGCTAGGCTGACTGGGCAGAAAAGGTTTCCCTTGAGTGGCTGCTGCTGCTGCTGCCGCCTCTCCAGCCCTTCGGCCTTTGCTGGGCTTAGCCTGATCTACCTTGCCCTGTTCAGTTGAGGCCACGGCTGCTCTTCCCGCCTCTCCCTCTTCCAGGTGTGAGTGGGCTGCAGATGCTCGGCATTCTCCACCATGCTGTTGTGTTCCTGATAGAGCAACTCTGTGGAGCCAAGCATTGCTCCAACTACAAGTTCAGGTTCCACAAGCCAGAGGAGGCCAAGGACCCTCCCGTGAACCCGCATGGCTCTGCCAGGGCTGAAGGGCACCTCAGGCAAGTGGCGTCCTGCTCCACCCCCTTTTCTCCCCAAGCGGTGGCAGCGGCGGCTGCAAGAGAAGTCTTAGGGCCTTGCGGCGAGAGGGGGAAGCATAAAGTCACCCCCTTTCTCAAAAATTTGGGGTGTGCACCACATGCTTCCCCCCCCCCACATTGTTCTCTGCTTGCCTCTTTTTTGTTTAAAAGTTCTTCATGTGTTGTATTTTATCCCATTTTTCAGACAATTACAGTCTTCCACAGTGGCTCAGAGCAGTTAAAGGAGAAAGACAGGCAATCTAAAAGACAAGAAGCGCAAGGGACAAGGGGGGAAAGGGAGATCAGTTCTTTGAGGCCAGAGCAAAGTGGTGAGGAGCCATAAGGCGTCTTGGCCAGGCCAGCCCTCCCGGGCTGCTGCTGTTCTTGTCTGAGCTGGAGCATAGCTGGAACCCGGCTGCCGTGGCACTCCGTGTAATGCGTAATGCTCCTTTCTCTTCTGCACTGCAGGAAGTCTGGTCTTGACATGTTCAACTTCCTGGCTTCTAAGCATCGCCAGCCCCCACAGTACAATCCCAACGAGGAGGAGGAAGAGGAGGTGCAGCTGAAATCTGCCCGGTACATAACAGGAGGGTAAAGCCATCAGGTGGTGGTTTTTGTAGATCATTGTAGATGGGAGGAGGGAGCTTGGATTCCTGCACCCGAGCTGTAAGACACGAGGCGGTAGGTAGTAAGTTCATAAAGGAAGCCAGGGGAGGACGGGTCCTGCCACGCTGCCTCGTGAGTGCTTATGTCATCAGGCGTAGCCCTCAAGCAGCCTCTTCCTGCTCTGCCTTCAGCAGGGCCACCAGCATGGATCTTCCGATGCCCATGCGCTTCCGGCACTTGAGGAAGACCTCCAAGGAGGCGGTTGGGGTTTACAGGTAAGTGGCGGGAGGAGAAACCCAGGCTAACTGACCAAGGGAGACCATTTGACCTGGGCAGTGATGGGAGGCAGGCTCGCTTGCCAGGCGCCCCCAGCCACAGTGCGAGGCTGGTCAGCTTTGGGTCCTCTGCCAGGTCTCCTATCCACGGACGGGGCCTCTTCTGCAAAAGGAACATTGATGCAGGGGAGATGGTGATTGAATATGCAGGCAACGTGATTCGCTCCATATTAACTGACAAGCGCGAGAAATACTATGACAGCAAGGTGAGTGAGTGGCTAGCCCCTGCTTCTCGTGGCTCCGGTAGGGTCCTCCCATCTGATCAGGCAGATGGCCGGGAGCGCCTCTGGAGACCTCACTGCCACGCCCGCTCTCTGTCTCCCAGGGCATCGGCTGCTACATGTTCCGTATTGACGACACGGAAGTCGTGGATGCCACCATGCATGGGAACGCAGCCCGTTTCATCAACCACTCTTGTGAGCCCAACTGCTACTCCCGAGTCATCAACATTGATGGGCAGAAGCACATTGTCATCTTCGCTATGCGCAAAATCTACCGTGGTGAAGAGCTCACCTATGATTACAAGTTTCCCATTGAAGATGCCAGGAACAAGCTGCCCTGCAATTGCGGTGCCAAGAAATGCCGACATTTCCTCAACTGAGCAGCCGAGCTGAGCCACAGCAGTGGGCAGAGGAGAGTCGGGTGCTGGTGCCCCTCCACAGCCACAGATGCCTTGGCTTGATCTGGCAGGGCATACCCTGCTCGGAGTGAAGTGGACTTTGGTGTGCTGTGGGACTAGGAAAACGGGCGTGTGGGCTGCAGCAACCAAGGCTGCGCCCAGCTGGCATGACCACCTGGTTGCTCTTCAAGTTTGGAATGTGTGGCCTTGCCCTCACGTTCCAGCTTGGGCTGGCGGCTGAGCGGTGGGTCTCCACCAGTCCCGTGGGGAGGAACCCCAAGGCAGCCGTTTGGGCAGGTGTCGTCCTTGGGATCTTTCAGGAGGACAAGCAGACCTTTAGAGAAGGAGCTTCTGTCCCAGAGCTGAACGTTTACAACTGACCCCCCCTCACCCCACCCACCCCCGTCCTGTGCCAGAAATGTAGTGGAATTGGAGCACCCCGGATGCAGCTTGTTCTCCGGGGAGGAAAAGTGCTGGAAGAGGAGGAGGAGCAGCAGCAGCCCCTGCATTCCCAAGGAGACGAGGGAGCCCCGGACTTCCCCTTTCCAAGCTTCTAGAAATGGCCTCCTTCAGTTGCACCATCTCGAATTAAGTCTTTGGATTTTCCTTGGTTCTGTTTACATTTTAGTATTTAAAAGTTTTATAAATGTAAATACATTTTGTATATTTTTCTATGAGCAGCACTTCATAGGAAAGAGCACTTAGGAGACTATTTTTTCAGTCACGGTTGCATCTTGACTTAAAAAAGAATCCAATTTAAGGGTGAATGTTTTATTTTAGTAGGATGGTCTTTCCAAGGTTGGGTCAGGCATATCCTGATCCTCCCTCAGGAGGGAAAAGGAGAGTTTCCTGGGTGCTGCTCCGGCTGCCCCTTAGGAAGCGTCCTCCCATTTTCAGAGAGGATGCAACTGTTTGGTGGGCCTTCTGTTCTCCAGGGGTCGACTCTCCCTGGATGTTAGCCAAACCGCTGGGATCCCTCTCCCTCCTGCCTCGGTTCAGGTCAGAGGATTAAACATCTGGTTTCTCACCAGGTGTGCCCTGGCCTGGCTTCCTCTGGAGGCAAGACAGATACGCTGTGCGTGGTATCTCTCCAAAGGGAGCAGAATCCCGGCTTGCTCCAGCTAAGCCCTGGCGCCTGCTACCCCCCCCCCCCCCCCCCCCGTCTCCTGGAAAGGAGGAGTTGGCGCTCCTGACCGCCACCTTTGCTGCCCCAGGCTGGCCAGGCCTTCGTCCCCAGTGTGGGCAGTTTGGGAGAAAGAGGCAGGAGCCAAGGGGGGCGGGGGCGGGGGGCTTAAAAGGAGGCAGGCTCTTTCCGTCTGGGCTGCCGGGTTGCCCTGTGGCTGCTAGAAGAGCCCTCCCTCTTCTCTGAAGGATGCTCTGAGCCGACTCCGAATTTTGGTTCCAGCCAAGTTTGGTTGGGTCCCCCTTCACAGGCATCTCCTCCTCCTCCTCCTCCTCCTGCTGCTGCTGCTGCTGCCAATCTGGCTGCCCTGAGCAGCAGCAGAGCTGAACCCCAGGATGCTGCACCCGAGGGGGGAGGCTGCCTCTCCAGGGCAGCAGGGAGAAGGGGGCAAAGGACGCTGGGCAGGGCAGCTTCCTGCAAATATGAATGTATCTTTCTAAGAACTGACAGATCGTGAGATCTAAAAATACTAAGTCAGTCCACCCTTTAAAGGTTTTGGTTTTTTTAAAGGAAAAGCGGGTCACTGTAAAGGGCTGGGCAAGAATCTTCTCTTCTTTGTTGTGAAGCAATACTGGGTTTTCCGTCAAATTCACCCTCTGTGCAGAATCACGTCATTTGGCCAGGTTGCTGCTGGCTCATCTCCTGCTCTCCACCCCAACCTCACATGCCTGCAAGTTTTTAAGACTATAAATAAGGTATCTATAGAACTAATATCGTACTGCATTGTGTCTTGAAGCCTGGCTTTGAATTCTCTTTAACCCTTTAGATAATGGTTGTGTTCCAGTTGCTGAAAAGGCAGGAAAAACAACATGCCAAGGGCTCCATGGGCAGTGGATGCCACCGACCTGGCCCCGGCTCCCATTGCAGACTTGCACACAGGGCGGGGTGGGGTGGGGTATGCAGGCCTCCCAGAAGTGAGGCTGGAGACTTGGCTGTGGATGTTCCTGACCTTCTGTGTTTAATTGTCAATCCTTGTACAACTTGCTTCTCTCCTCCGCCTCTTCCTCTTTTTGGATTCCAGTTGGTGGAGCTCCTCGCTTGCATTGTGCGCTTTCTGGTCTCTTAATAAGGTCTTGCAGCTTCGCCTCCCCGCCAAGAGTTGTGCCCGTGGTGTTTCCTGGATTCAGCGTCTTCAATAGCTACAGGTAGTGAATTAATGTCTCAAGCCACTTTGCAAAAGCTACATAAACAGGGCTCTGATCCATACAAAAAGCAACTTATCATGTAAAACCAATTTCTCTTTTTTTTCTTGTGTTCTTCCAAAATGAGTTTTTTTTTTTCTTTAAAAAGAGGAAATGTGTCGCTTGTGCTGCATCAGTGTTAATTCCCTGTCACTGTTACAGGGATGAAGGAAGTACTTTCAATAGTTTTAAGAAATGACTGAAAGACTGAATGTAAAAATAAGTGTATATAGTTGTACAAAAAAAGGAGTTTTTAAACATGTTTATTTTCTATGCACTTTTTTATTTAAGTGATAGTTTAATTAATAAACATGTCAAGTTTATTGCTTCAAAAGATGCGGTTTCTTTTGATTGGGGCTGAGCTTTTTCCCAGGCCAGTCTGTTGTTCTCCTTACCTGCATCACAGAATCCTTCCCCCCCACACAAGGCAGCCATTGACCTCCCAATTCTGTATTCCTCCAGTATCTTTGCTGGTCAGGTCCACGGGTCTCCCAATGCTGCATCCCCAAAACAAGGGAATGTACAAACATGCCCCCCCCCCCCGCCCTGCTCCCCCCTGGAGCTTTGAAGGAGAACCAAGGCGAAAGTCTCCAGCAGCCGCTTCCCTCCAGAATCCCGATGCCTGAGAAAGCAAAAGCACCAGCTTTCCCATTTTGGGTTTGTTTTCTTCGGTGGCATTTTCTCACAGAAAGCCTAAGCAACAAAAACCCTGTTGAATCCACCTCCATGCTTGGTCTGGAGAAAGTGAGTTTTCATTACTTTCAAGCAGATGAACCAATGTGAGAAATGTCTTGTTGATGGAAGCGGAATTCTTCTCCATATTCTCTATAACTAAGGGTGCATTTGTACTCAGTAATACATAACACGGTTATTTTTAATGATCAACCGATCATAAAATGGAAAGCACATCAGTTTGGCCCTTCTGGGGATTACACTGTACTTGCCCACTGCTATTCTCTGGTGTTCCCCAAAGTCACACAAGTCAGATTGATGTCTCCTGGGCAAGAGGGAATGGCGCGTGTATGTACCTTTCAAGGCAGCTTATAACCAAAGAGCAGCAGGGCCTTCTGGCTGACCCTCTGACAGGGCCTCTGCTGCAGAAGCAGCAGCAGCATCTGGTGGGCAGGGGAGCCGGGAGAGGGGGAAACCATCCCCATTTGACTCGGCTTGTCAGGCACAAAGGCAGGGGTGGGTGGGTGGGTGCTGACTCCAACACAGCACCTGCCTTTGCTCTCCACAAAGGCTGGATTCATCCCTCCAGGGAGACCAGGCATTACTTCCGGTACAGCACCAGGAAGCCCCATCTTCTAGAGTGAGATGGTTCTTCTACTGCCGACGTTTCCTGTTCAGCAGGTTTGTCTGAGATGACAAACAGGTGGAGTCCTGCCTCCACTGAGCTCCTCTCCTGTACAGCCTCGGTCCTGCTCTTTTTGGGCTCGCCCATCTCGTCTGGGCAAATATGCTCAGGAAGGGAGTGGTGGTGGAACGGGGCTCCCACTCCCACTTCAGCTTACTGATCACACCCCTAGCAGCTGTCCCTCACTGCCTTCTGCCCTGTAGGAGGCCAGCGGACACGGCCCCACTCCTCCCTCGCGGCCATTGGCTGCTGCTGGACCGGCCCCTTCCTCCCCAGCCAGAGCATTCAAGATACCTTTGAAGTGGCCCAATCCCCACTGAACTCGCCAGGGCTTCAACATGGCTACCATCAACGATGATCAGGCAGTTTTGGAAACTATTTTCCACCCAAATGTTCCCTTTGATGAAGATTTGCAAGAGGAGCAGGGGAAACAACAAGCAGTTGAAGGTGATGACTCGCTGGGGGAGGGTGTGTGTGTGTGCTTTTTTCATAAACTTCCTTTGCAAGCTCTCGGGAGCAAGGAGATGCTTCCGATCTCTGGGATCATAAGAGATTCCTTAACCTGTTTCTCATAAATCATTTTCAAACCAGACACTCGAAAGGGCTGGTGGGCAGAGAGCTTCTGTGCACCACTCTCCAAAATTGGGACTGGGAGGAGAAGGTTGGCAGGTTGCTTTCAGGCCCTTGCTACCTTTGTTCGTGCTTCAAAAAGCTGTGAGGCTGCAGGGCTTAACCTGTTGCTTCCTTCCATTGAAGGGCAGGCTGCCTTTCAAAAGCAAGCCAAGTGACCATGGAGGCAAGGCTGCTAGGCTGCTACAAGGGCCTCTTGCAAAGCTTAGCCTTGGGGAGTTTCTGGGGTGACTTTGGCATCTGGCTGGCTCTCAAGGTTATTAGTTGCCAGAGCTGGCCCCCTTTTTCCTGAACCTGCTTCTCACACTGGTGACAGAAGGAGGCTTTGATCCTGAGCTGCTGTGGCAAGCCACTCACCTGGAGGCCCAGGGAATCGCAGCAGCTGAAGGAGGAGACCTGGAGCTGGCCCTGGAAAAGTTGGACCAAGCCATCCAGCTGCTCCCAACGCGAGCCTCAGCCTTCAACAACCGTGCACAAGCTCTTCGGCTCAATGGGGATGTGGCAAGTAAGTGCACTCAGGGCTTCATCCCTCATCCTCTCCCTCCACTGATGACCATGGCTACTCTTGGCCTGGGATAGGGATGGCAGTCACTGAAGGCGCTAAGGCAGGGCATCTGGTTCAGCCAGAAGCACAAAGCAAGACCATCGCTTTGAATTGGCTTGAGTCTCTTCATCTGGGGGGGGGGGGGGGGGGGGGGGCTTGTTGGGTCCATGAGCAAAACTGTCGGTAGCTGTTCTAGAAGTATAAGGTCTTCTTGCCAGAGGGGTTCCCTCCCATTGAGATAATCGGTCATGCAAACACGGCAGCTGGACAGGAGCCTCCTGAACTAAGGTTCCGCTCTCCCTGTTTGATCCTGTTTCTTTTCAGACCCCTCCATTGTTTATCTGAGTCACAACATGACTCACAATGTTTTTTTAAAAAAGGAATCAAAACTTAATAGGCACCTAGAACAGAAAAACAGAAGGAGACCATCCCACGGGCCTTTCAAGAACATCCCTCTGGACAGGCCCATCCCTCCCTCCCCCCCCCCCCCCAGGCCAAGCTTCTGGGAATGGGACAAGGGTGCATAGGGCAGGCCCACCTCTGCCATTAAGGGCTCAGGTTTCTTGGAGCCCACTGAGAGGGTGCCTCTTTGTACAAGGCACTGACCCGACGTTTGTTTAATGCACTCACTCGTTTCCCCCCCCCCCATCCCATCAGAGGCGCTGGAAGACTTGGAGGCAGCCCTGAAGCTCAGCAAAGGGTCCGGCCCAGTGGCGCGCCAAGGTTTTGTACAACGGGGGCTGATCCAGCGGTTGCAAGGCCAGGATGAAGCGGCCCGGAGCAGCTTTGAGCAGGCGGCTGGCCTGGGCAGCGTCTTTGCCCACCGGCAGCTGGCGCTGATGAACCCTTACGCAGCCCTCTGCAACCAGATGTTGTCGGAAGTGATGAGAAAGTCTCACCCGAAAGGGGAGAAGACAACTTGCTGAGGCTGACTTGTGGGGGGAGGGGGCGCGCGAAAGGGCAGCTGAATAAAGCCCGCGGCTTGGGAGCACGAACCAAGGCCTGTTTTTGTCGCCCGGGTCCCCGACCAGCAGCTCCGGGCACAGCCCCCCCCCCCCGCCCCGGAGGGAGGGAGGGAAGAGGCCCCCGCTAGGCACCGCTTTTCAGCTCGCCGCCGGCCGGCCGGAAACTCTGGGGTGCCCAAGGCGGGTATTCGGGCACGATCGCGAGCCTTCGGAGCGAGAAATCCAGGTCGGGATTTCTGACGTGCCGGTCGGCTGCAGACGCTGCTGCCGCATCCTGGAGGTGAGCGGCCTGCGGTGCTCCGGCCTTTCCCGCTTCGCCGCGCAGCCCAGGATGGACGCGGCTCTGTGTCCCGCAGCGCTAGGTGCGCCGCGCCCCGAGCGCTGGCTGCTCTCCCCGGGCCGCCGCCTCCGGTCACCCCGCCGGAGAGGCGTCTCGGCGCCCGGGAGCCCCCCGCCCGCGCTCTTGCAGCTGCTGCTGCTGCCGTTCCTGCTGCGGCGCGCCACACCAGGTAGGGCGGCGAGCGGCGCGCTTTCTTCTCGCGGGCCACGGCTCCCTCCGGCCGGTAACCTCCGCTCCGCCGCAGGCGTGGTGGCGACGTCGGAGACCAGGATCGACGGGCGGGCTCTGTCGGTGAGCAACTTGCGGGAGGCCGAGAGCCGCACCTTCACCTGCTTGGCGGCGGCCCCCAACCTCACCTGGTACCTCAACGGGCAGCGGCAGGAGACCAACGCAGCTGGGAGGCCCCTGGCCGCGGCCGGCGACGGCGCCGCCTCGGGAGAGGACGGCAGCGGCACTTTCGTGGTCACGGCGCGACGTGTGGACCACCGGCTGGACTGCGCCGCCACCGACCCGGTCACGGGGCGCGTCTCCACCGCCTCGGTCCTCCTTAACGTGCAGTGTGAGCGCGGCGGGCGGGCGGGCGGCGGCTGGGGGCGCAGGGGCTCCGGAGGGAAGGAGGGGGATGGAGGCTGACCGGCGCGGCTGCGGCCCTCTGTACGAATGCAGTTCAGCCGGAAATCGTGAAGGTGGACGCCCATTACCGTGAAGCGAGCGAGCCCGGCCTCCTGCTGGTGGTCTTCGTGCTGGTCCAAGCCAACCCGCCGGCCGACGTGACCTGGGTGGACCAGGACGGGCAGGTGACGGTCAATGCCTCCCGCTTCCTGCTGCTGGACGCCCAGACCTATCCCGGGCTCGCCAACCACACGGTGAGAGTGCAACTGCACGGCCCGCCCCGGAACGCCTCCCTCCGCGCCTCCAACGACCTGGGCGAAGCCAGCTCCTCCGTTCCGCTCCCCGGTACGTGGGCTGATCGGTACTGGGGGCGGGGCCTGGACGGGGCTCACGGGCCCGGGGCGGGGTTGGGACAGGTCCGCAGCCTCCGCCAAGGAAGAACTGCCTGACACAAGGCCTCCCTTCGCCTCTGGGAGGATCCAGGCCTTCCTTCCAGCAAAGGGCCCTGCCCTCACACAGCCCCCCCCCCCCCCCAGCCTGTCTCCTTGCCAAGCCAGGGCCCACGTGTCCCAACAGTCGGGTGCAGCCCTCTGCACCCCCAGGCAGCCTCTCCTGCACTTGGCTTGTAGGAAACAGAGAGATTCGGCCACTTGAATTGCCCTGGAAAAATTTCTTCGAGGCTACTTCCCAGGCGCTAGGGCAGCTTTCCTGCAGAGTGACCCTGGACCAGGGAAAGCCAGCTGGCAGAGGGGCAGCTTGCTTGGCTGGACGAGGCCACGTGTCAAGAGAGTAGAGAGCAGGATGAGGCCATGCGGCCTGCTGACAGGGAGCATCTCTGACTTCTCTAGGTCTGCTGGCCACCCAGCTTGAACTGCCTCTGGTGGCCCTGGTGGGGGCAGCTGCTGTAGCTCTGGTGATACTCCTGAGTTTTGGGGTGCTAATCAGCTGGACTGTTTCACAGGCGGCCAAAAAGTCAGCAGGTAGGTGCCTTTTCAGCCTGGGCTGGGTCTGCTTCCTTGCTGGGAGTCTAACACCTTCCTTTCTCTTCTTCTTTAGGACATGGGCCAGCAGCAGAGCTTGCTCTGAGGTAAGCTTCTGGGACTGCCAGAGGAGTCTAAAAGCCCCGTTTGCTCTGTGGCCTCTTTTGGGAATTGTTTATAGACCCACCCATGTGCTTATGGTGGCATGCATAAGCACATCCCCAGAGAACAATGCCCCGGTCAGCTCTCTCGGGGGTCAGGGAAAGGTAAAATCCCAGGAACCTGAAGCCTTGCCTTGAAAGGGGGTAGGGGAGCTGGGAGGATTCGAGAGCTAATCGCTCTGCATTTCCCAAGCAATGTCCTACAGCAGAAGGAAGCCTGCCTGCCACGGGCAAACAGATCCCTCCCTTCCAACCTGCAACTCAACGACTTTGCACCAGAACCAAAAAGTGAGTGTTGAGGATGGCGGGGGTGGGATGGCATGCCAAGGCATGAGTCACTGCTCCAGCCCTCTTTCCTTCTACTCCAAAGGTAGAGTGAACAGTGTTCCTGCAGAGCAAGGTGAAGATGCTGTTTCAGACCCAAAAACCCACCTGACCCTTTCTGAACAAGGTAGTGAGCCCTCCTGCCATGTGGGGGCTGGGGGGAGGGAGGAGCTACATCCATTTGGCCAAGCGCCTCACGGTTTAGTTCTGAAACATAGGAATTTAACAATACCAAATTAATACACCTAATTCTGTAGCAGGAGAAGCTGTCAAATACTGGGAACATTCCCTTTTCAAGAGACAGCACTGACCAGCTCCACCTTGTGCTGGAAAGGACTGCTGTGCACTCACCACTCCAGTGAGACATGAGATGAGCACCAAGAATGTTTGCCCCAAGTAGCATTTTAGGGCCTTTTCCCAGCTTTGCCAGTGGGAGGGGGAGCTTTCAGAAGAAAAGCCCAGGGGCCACATCAGCCTGACCTCGTCCAGCCTCGTTCCTCTAGCAGCCCTGGGTGCTTTGGCAAAATTCAGTCCTGCAGGGCAATGGCACCGTTCCTGCCACCTAGTATTTCAGGCATGCTACCAGAGGAAGCTGCCTTCAGTGCTGTGTGAAAAGCACTCACGTACGCCTGCCTGTTCCCTCATCTTATTGCAGTTGAATCTACTTAAAACTTAGAAGAAAATCATCTCTGGGATGATCCTGCATGCTCCTGGATAGTCTCAAGGAGACCCAAGGCTTTCAAAAACCCTGGAAAATAACTGCTGTGGACCAAATTCCATACCCTCTTTTTCTGTCTCTGCAGATTTGGATCGGTTTCTTACCGTTGGATATATTTATAGAGCCACTAGTATGAGTAGCGATGAAATCTGGCTGTGAAGACTATCACCATGCCCAGCCCCAGCACAGAGAAGCAAGTGAGGCATGGAGGAGGGCGGGCAAAAGATGCCAGGAGTCTCTCTGCTCTTCACACTGGAACAGGATGGTGAGGGCCCCTCTGGGGGGCGAAGGCGCCCCCAGCAGGGTCCGGTCCAGTCCTGGACACCAGGCTGACCTTGACTGGGTGAGTCCTTTTCGCCCTTCACTCCATTCCAGCAGCCGCCCTGTTTCTCCGTCCAATAGGAGGGTTGCCTTCCTAACCTCCCCTTTGCTATTGCCAGGCACATCTCAGTTTAGGATTGTAGCTTTGCAACTGCTACGCTTCATGAATAAACGGCTGTGGTGAAGGTGTTCCCCGTTTTTCCTCCCTCCTGGATTTGGCTGTGAGGCTGCTATGAAAAAGACTCTCAATCTCTCGGTCCCCGGGGAGCGGGTGCTGGCATGGGTTGCACAAAAAGGCAGAGCAGGCTGCTGTACCCGTTTCACGGACAGCCTTACAATGCCTTTGCTCTGTCCCCGAGCCCCAAACCACCTGGCTACAGAGGTGCTGGAAGATGCAACAAGACGCAACACCCCATGTTTCTCAAGAGAGGCAGAGCAACATCTGCAGCAAAACTTTATTGCACAAATATTACGCTGATTTATCACCTGGATGCCAGGCCACTCGAAGGAAATGGGTGCTGGAAATCTGTCTTAGATACCCCTGAGGTCAACAGCACCTTTCTTTAAGCACAGGAGGCAGGATGCTGTGACCTGCTCAGGTGAAGCTCAAAATATCTGTCTCTCCAGCCTGTGAGGGTGGGTTGGAGGGGGGGCTGGCAACCTTCTTGCCCTCAGCTAGAGCCTTGAAGTGCTGCGAAAAAGAAGATGAACCAATAAGGTGAACCTGGTTTCAGCTTCCTGTGGAGACCATTTCTTCTCGACTCTCCTGGTAAAAGCAAGTAGGGAAGACCTGTTCAAGCAGGTCCCGCTGTTGTGGGTAGCAACAGTGGCAGCTCTCTTGCTTACCTGTGAATTTTTGAATTCAGAGTAGAGTGAGAATAGGGTGTGCAGAGGTTGGATGTGACCCTTGTAGACAGGAATGTCCAGCATGGCTGCAGAAAAACCCCAAAAGAGAAGCTCCAGGTTCAACTTCAAGTGGAACCCAGAGAACTCTGCCAAGTGCTGGACAGTCGGTGAAATGTCTGGTTCCAGAATGGCCTAAACCGTTCAGTCGGTTTAGGCCTTCGGCAGACATCCCCAGGCTCGGCATGGGGTCAGGGCACTCACCACAGATCATGTCTGTATATTCAGCTAAGCTGCAGTCAACGTCAGCAGTCGGGAGGCTCACCTGGGGGCCAGAGAGGGAGGCTTAGGGCTGGCGGTGCTTTCTGCATGAAGCAGTTCTCGTGGTCCTGCTGGAAGCCCCCCCAAAAAACAGTTGTAGGATATGGGGCAGCACTTACCCATTGGGCAGGTCACTATACCTTTCCCAGCAACTCTTCAAACTCGGGAGACCATTCTTGCATCAGCGTGTCTATATCGGGCATTGGCCTGCAAAGGACAAGCAGCGAGCAGCAGCCCTGAGAGCCGGCCAACTGGAGACCCTATGTGAGCCCTTCCCCCTGGGGGGACACTGCGGTGGTAACGAGGGAAAAGGCGAGGAGCGTCAAGGGGCTCCTCGGGGGACCTCAAGGCAGACCTAGCGTAATGGACAGTGGCCGGAGGCTTGCAGTGGTGGAGTTCACTGATGCTCTCTATCCAGCTGTCCACAGCTTTGGGGTTCTTCTCCGCGTTCTCAAGGCTCTTTACTTTCACCTGCTGCTAGAAACGCAAACCGGCCCCGTCAGTGGATTGGACCTGCTGGGCTGGCTTCCTACCCATTTCCTTCCTCCTCCACTTACAGCCACATTATGCTGCTTTGAGTTCTCTGTGAGCCACAAGGAAAGTACAGTGGGATCTGACTGTTTCGTGGATGGCTCATCCAGCATTAACAAGCCCAGGTTATCCGGCTTCCCATCCGGGCGTGGAACCTGCAAGAAATGAGCCTCAGCAACATCTCTGCAAATGTCCAAAAGAGGCAGAGCAAATACCTGAGCTCCACTGGCCAACCTGCACAACGTCCCTTGAGCATTTCCCCCAGGAGGCCCTGCAGCCAGGAGAGGGTTCCAGGGTGCAAACACCTCCCCCCCAGGGCATCAGGTGGGCAGGACCCAGGTGGGCTCCGGGGCACCTTCAAGAAGGCGTCGATGTCTCCTACGGCAGGGATGAAGTCCGGGATGAAAGGCTTTAGCTTGTGCTCCAGGTCGATCATCTGGGAGGAATACCTGGGGGGCGGGAGGTGCTGAGTGCAGCCCAGGGCACACACCCCCTCCTCGGACACCCCCCCCCCCGCCCCCTCACCTCCGGATGTACTGGAAGAGCTCCTTCACCTCCAGGGAGACTGGCAGGTAGTCGTAGTCGGCCGAGTTGTAAGCCCTGCGGAGGGAAGGAGGCAGGCAGCGCGGGTGAGCACCCCCCTCTGCGCCCCCCTCGGCCCGCCAGCCCCGCCCCCCGCCCTACCCCTCCAGCGGGGCGCCGTGCTCGTCGTCCTCGTCGTCCTCGTCCTCATCCGAGTCGGTCTCCGAGGAGTCCTCGTCGTCGTCCTCCACCTCGTGGCCGCTGAAGCGCCGGCCGGAACCCAGCGGGCCACCGCCCTTCTTTTCGGGCTGCAACAGAGCGCCCACGGGCCGGTCGGGGGCGGTGACGGGGTCCCAGCCGGGCGCGCGCGGCGGGGTGCTTGCTCCCTTCAGGGCCGCCTCGCCGCCGTCTTCGTCTTCGTCGCTGCTGTCCTTGCACGGGGGGCGCGCGGCGCGCGGGCCTGCAGGCGGGAACGGCGGCGTCACGGGGGCGGCGGCGCGCGGCTCCGACAGGCCCTCCCGCCCGCCCCCACCGGGCACCCACCGGGCTGCGGCGGGCTGGGCGCGTAGATGCTGGCTACGTCCTCCGTCTCGTTCACGTCCAGGCTCTCGTCGTAGGGCTGGTTCTCCACGAGCCGCGTCTAAAGCAAAGGAGAGAAGCGCGAGGGACGGCGGCTCGCCGGCGCCCAGATCCCGGACGCGCCCCCGGCCCGGCCCCGCACCTGCAGCCCGGGCTCGGGCGGCGACGGCGGAGCTCCGCTCATGCTGCGTCGGGGACCGCCGGAACACGGGCCGCAGCCGGTCCGTCGCCAGGCAACGGGAGGCCAGAACCCTCTCTCGCGAGAGCCGGCAGCCTTCCCCCCCCCCTCGGGGCGACCGCCCCTGCGCGATGACGCCACTTCCGCCTGAGAGACGTGGCTCACCGCCATCTTGTACGGGAGTCGGAAGCCGCGGAGAAGCGGAGCCCAGCAGCAGCTCCAGGGAGGTCGCCGCCGCCGCCGCCGCCGCCATGGTGAGGCTCGCCCGGGACGCGCCGTTGCCCCGTGACCAGGAGCCTGCGGGGCCGGCCCGGAGAGGCAGCTGTGGGCCGGCGCTTTCCCCGCGGGGGGCGGCCTCCGGAGCCGCCTCTTGAGCGTGCCGGGCCTTGTCCTCCTCTCCGCAGGTGCTCCTGGCCGCCGCGGTCTGCACGAAAGCGGGGAAGGCGATCGTGTCGCGCCAGTTCGTGGAGATGACGCGGACGCGCATCGAGGGGCTGCTGGCGGCCTTCCCCAAGCTGATGAACACGGGGAAGCAACACACCTTCGTGGAGACGGAGAGCGTCCGCTACGTGTACCAGCCGCTGGAGAAGCTCTACATGGTGCTCATCACCACCAAGAACAGCAACATCCTGGAGGACCTGGAGACGCTGCGGCTCTTCTCCAGGGTGGTAAGCGGGTGGGCGGGCGGCGGGCTGGGCGGAGAGGGGAGCGGGCCGGGTTTCCCTGAGCCTCCCTGCCGACCCCTGCAGATCCCCGAGTACTGCCGGGCGTTGGAGGAGACCGAGATCGCGGAGCACTGCTTCGACCTCATCTTCGCCTTCGACGAGATCGTGGCGCTGGGCTACCGGGAGAACGTCAACCTGGCCCAGATCCGGACCTTTACGGAGATGGACTCCCACGAGGAGAAGGTCTTCCGGGCCGTCCGCGAGGTAGGTGGGCAGGTTCTCCTGGACGGTGGCCGCGTCTTCCCCCCCTGCTCTCGGAGAGCAAAGCTGCTAATTCGTTCTGTTCCTGCTTCTCTCTCTGCAGACCCAGGAACGAGAAGCGAAGGCCGAGATGCGCCGGAAGGCCAAGGAGCTGCAACAGGCACGGAGGGAGGCCGAGCGGCGGGGCACCAAAGCTCCAGGATTCGGGGGCTTTGGCAATTCAGCCGCCTCAGGAGGCACCCTGGCTGCTATGATCACGGAAACCATCATTGAGTCTGAAAAGCCCAAAATAACTCCGGCTCCAATGAGGTGGGTCACTGGTTGTGGGAGGGGGATTGGGCTGCAAGGGAGGGGTCAGGGGGCTACGTTTACAGGTGGTCCTCGACTTCTGACCACCCTTTCTGTTGATGAGAGTGGTTGAGTTTTGCCCCATTTTGCTACCTTTTTGCCACAGTTCTTAAACGAATTGTTGCAATTGTTGCAATTTAATAACATGGTTATTAAGTGACTATAGCTTCCTCCTTTATTTTGTCAGAAGGTCACAGGAAGTGATCCTGTCACTTTTTTCCAGTGCCGTTGTAACTTTGTACAGTCACTAAATAAACTGAGTCGAGGACTCTTTCTATTGCTTTGTGGGGGTCATATTTGTTTTCCTGCTTGCGTAAAGATTCAGAATGATCTACAGAAATGCTCAAATGCCAAATAACGTAAAAGAAGCATTAGTCAAATTAAAATAGGGTAAGGTGATGATCTAGTTGGGATCTGTAGCAGATACATTGATGGATCGTAGCCTAAGAGCTTTCCTGCGGTTCCTTGGGATTTCTCTCACTGGAAGAGCCTGGGAGGCACATGAACAAGTCTTTGTTTTTGTTTTTCTTACTCCAAAGGGCCATGTGCAGAGCAAGGGAAGCAGGGAAGGGTCTTGCTGTGTTCTTCCTTTGGGAAAAAACTCCTCGTGCATTTTGTTTTGTTTCTTTAGACCTTCTGGTTCAAACAAGGCACTTAAGCTCGGCACTAAAGGGAAGGAAGTGGATAATTTTGTGGATAAACTAAAATCCGAAGGCGAAAATATTGTTGCTTCTTCTGTTGGCAAGCGTTCCTCAAATACAGCAGCTGTTCTTGCTCCGCCCGTTAACATGGAGAGGTATGTGTATTACCCAGGAACGCAGAGAGGCACACAGCATCGTGCATAGCAGAATCCAGGTCTCTGCTCTAGCCCAAGCGCAGAGGAAGCCTGGCCAAATACCTTTAGTGGCCTTCCAAGCAGGAGCTGAGCAGCCAGGTGGAGT